ATAGATCAATATCAAGGGAATAAAATCATTTTTTTTTTCTGATTTTGTAAATCAAAAAAGTTTCCAAAAAATAAAAAAAAATAATGAAAGAAAAAATTTTTTTAATTTTTTTTTTTTTTTTTTAAAAAAAAAGGGCTTCATATCACATTTAGGAGATTACTTTATTATTTATTATTATTTTTCATCCTTTTTACGTAAACGCGAAACATTTTACTGAAACTGTTATTATAATATGCAGCATAATTATTCTAAAAAAGTTCATATCACACATTTAAATAATCATAAAAAAAGATGATAAGACAGTTAAAGATGATCATAATAAAGATCATCATCATCGTTATGTGTCATATATTACCCTTAAATTATAATAAATAATAGAAAATTAGAAAAAATTTAAAATTCGAAAAATTATACATTTATATATATACAGTATATATATATATATGTATATAAGTATATAACATCAATACATCAATACATCAATACATCAATACATTAATACATTAATACACCAATACACCAATACACCAATACAACAATACACTAATACATCATATATTTACATTATTAATCAAGACAAAAAGAAGATACAAGAAGATAATATGTAAGGAGAAGTCTATTTATTTATATGTTTCATGTTTCTTTATTTTTCTTAAACTGATGTTATAAAGGTTTAAATAGCTTACACTAAATTAGATCTTAAATGGTCAAATTTTTAAACTTCATCAAATGACAACATAACTATTTGTGAAATATTGTGAAATAAATCCGAATTCTCGGAAACGCGTTTCACAATTTTCACGTGATTAAATGTTACACCAATCCGTAGTCCGCAGTAAACGAAATCCTTCTGCATCATATAAAGGTTTGAATATAAAATTATTCTTTTAATATTGAATTATAATATTAAAGGGTAACAAAACTTTCTGAACCCATAAAATATTATTTATATGGCTATACACGTTAAGCCACTGAGATTGACACGAAGTTTTGAACCAATTAAAAAAAAATGATCCCGATTTTCAAAAAATTGGTTAAAATTAAAAAATTTTAAAAATTTCCAAAAATGGCAAACAATATTTTTTTTAAAAAAAGGTGATAACTAAGAGAGAGAATTAAAGAAGAAAAAATAAAAAAATCAAAATAAGAAATTTTTACAAGGAAAAAAATTTGTTTGTTTTTTTTATTTTTTTACGCGAGTTCATTTTCAAAAAAAAAAAAAAATTTTTAAGAAACGAATTAAATAAAACCATTGTTACAATGACAAATTTAATCTGTTTTTCACGGGACAATCCTTAAAAAAAAAAAAAATATATTAAAAAAAAAAAAGTTCTTTGTCTATTGTCTTTGTCTTTATAGTCATAATTCATCAATGAATTATATAATTAGTTTCAACCGTTCCAATTAATTTGAAATTATTTTACGTAAACGAATCAAAATTTAAGGAAACAATAATTTAGAAAATAGTATCAATTTCCCATTATGGATAATTTAAATTAGTTAAGAATTTATACAAATATTTATTTCTGTCTCTTATACACATCTAGATGTGTATAAGAGACAGATTATATAATTAGTTTCAACCGTTCCAATTAATTTGAAATTATTTTACGTAAACGAATCAAAATTTAAGGAAACAATAATTTAGAAAATAGTATCAATTTCCCATTATGGATAATTTAAATTAGTTAAGAATTTATACAAATATTTATTTAATGCAACTTTATAAATAGTTCTCAAAACAAGGAAATAATCAAAATAATTATATGAAATTATCATTGTTGTTGTAAGATTAACCTTTTAAGCATTAAAGAAATTTCTTACAGTGTGTGTCACGATCACGCATAAATCCATGTTAGGTTGACAAGCTAACGAAAGGATAAATGTAATAATGTAATAATTAATAATAATGATCATTTATTTTTATTAATTTAACCAATATGTATTGCAGAGCAACGAAGGAACGACGGAACGTTTCATAAAAGTATAATTATTACTCCGAGATAGTTTAACATGAGTTTAACATAGTTTAATATAGTTTATTGGTTTAACGTGACAAATAATGAACTTCAATAAATTTAATGAATTTAATGAATTTAAAACGGTTCTTATCTTTCTTTATCTTTCTTTATCTTTAAATATCTAAAATATCTTTAAATATCCTTTTCTTTTATGTCTTTTATGTGATATATTCGATGTGGCTTGACTCTTTGACTCTTTTATTTATTGTTCAATGACCTCCTATCTATCTATTCATGTACACATAACATTAATAATTTTTTTATTCATGCAACGCGATATAATAAATTTCGAGGGACCAAAAATACGCGACGTTATTTCTAACAAAGTTTTTTAAAAAGTTTCATTGATAAATTAATCTAGGATTTTCTCTTTTTCAGAATTCCATGTCAGAAAAGACGATAAAAACGAATGATCTAATATTTGTGTAAATAATATATTTTATTTATAAAATGAATCTTTATTCGCTGATATTTATTTATAGTAAAAGGTAAACATGTTTAGAAATTTGTTAACCAATAAAGGTGAAAGAAAATAAGAAGAGATTTTCAACGTTAAACACGATATCAATCAAGTTTCATTCCAGACAAAGAAATTTAATTATAATCGTTGTCATAATAATTACTGATTATCATCATTGTTTAATTACCCAAGTACACTGTATTAATTATGATTATTATGACGCGAAATGCTAATAACGAAACCAAATCTGAAGGATTCAATAAAAAATTTTTTCATAAAGAGAAATCATTTAAAAAAAAAAAAGGAAAAAAAAGATAAGCCACGATACAATGCATCTTACGTGTTTTGTTTATTAAATACTTGATTAGAGAATTTCAATCAAAAAAATTTAAGGCTTATCATACTCAATTTGTATTTAATTTCCATCAAAGCCACCAACTATATATATATATATATACATATACATATACATATATATATATATATTATATATTATATTATATTATATATATTATTATTATAATATATATAAATATATATTATTTATAAGCCAAGTAACCATGTTTAAATTTTCGGCGATTGATAAAAGATAATTTATTAAAAACGATTTACTTCATTATAAAAAAAATATTATTTTCTAAATTTCCCGAACTCCGAAGTTTAAAACTTGTTTAATATCAAGTTATTCATTAATGTCTATTTTCTATTAAAGTAATAATATATATTAGATTTCATCATTTATTTCATATTGTATCACTCGTACCATAAACAGGTTTTAGAAAGAAAAAAATAAAAAATAAAAAAAAAAAAAATTTTTTTTTTTTTTTTTTTTTTTTTTTTTTGTTAATTTCTTATTATTACGGAGATACCGTTGATATCATTCTTTTTAAAATTATCCAAAAATTACAGAATGAAATAATTTGGCGCAGTTCATGATTATTCCTTTCTCGATTCAACGCCGGTAACATCAAAAAATCATCTATTAATAACCTGGTGTTACCATGCTTTAAAACTTGACTTCGAAAAAGAAGAAATGTGGCAAAGTCATGAAAATTTAACATAAAAAANAAACTTGTTTAATATCAAGTTATTCATTAATGTCTATTTTCTATTAAAGTAATAATATATATTAGATTTCATCATTTATTTCATATTGTATCACTTTTTGAATCAAACATTTTTACCAAAAGAAATTTTTTAAATAAAAAAAAAAAGTTCATGTTTTCGCTTATCATTTATTAAAAAGGGTTAATTTCTTATTATTACGGAGATACCGTTGATATCATTCTTTTTAAAATTATCCAAAAATTACAGAATGAAATAATTTGGCGCAGTTCATGATTATTCCTTTCTCGATTCAACGCCGGTAACATCAAAAAATCATCTATTAATAACCTGGTGTTACCATGCTTTAAAACTTGACTTCGAAAAAGAAGAAATGTGGCAAAGTCATGAAAATTTAACATAAAAAAACTGGCTTTTATTCCTTCCTTCTGGTACCACAAAGTAAATAAATTGTAACACTCATTTTAACATTACAAACTATTAAGGTACGCTACCCACACGGATTACACAGATTACCACACTTCTTGCATAATATGCAAGAAAACATGGTTTGGTGTGAATATGGTGTGAAATGATGCCACTTTTAATCGTATAACTCAATAATATTATTTATTATTTGAAAAATAAAACGTGTAACATGTGTTTATTTGTCTCTTTTTGTTAATTAGAACAAGTCGTTTGTGAAATTTCAAAATTAGCTTATCAATCAATCAATCAATCATATATTATATGTTTAGTTATATTTTTAAAATCCTATTAACATTATTTATTTATGAAATTATTACAAAAATGTAAAAACTCGGAAAAAAAAAAAAATCAATTACAAGGAAGAAAATAAAAAAGAAAAATTTCATATTTAAAAGCTAAAATTCTAATTAGAATCTTATTCCGAGGGGAAAAAAAAAATTTACAAAAAAAAATGTCGGATCAAAAAAAAAGGAATTAAATTTCTAGATACAAAACGGGAAAGGAATATACTATTCTGTAAATTATATCTATAGTGAACCTGCAACTGATATATATTTATCATATAATTGAAAAAATGAAGCCCACCCCCGCGAAAAAAAAAAATAAAATAAAACAAAAATGAAAATATTTCTCTATATATATATATATATAAAAGGGGAAAAAATATGCACAAATTTGTACAAAAAAGAAAAAAAATAAAAAATAAGGAAAAAAAAAAATTATTTATATCTTTACATTTTATACGGAAAGATAAAAAGGTGGGATGAAATGAATATGAATATAAAAAGAAGTAAAAAAAAAATATATATATATAATCTATATAAAAAAGCATGAAAAAAAAATGATGATTTAATATTATGAATTCTTAAACCTTAAAAAAATCTTGAATTGTTGTTGTTGTTATATAATGATGATATGGGTATTATAATATTTATATATATATATAAAAATGTTTTTTTAAAATGCTTTTATTAATATGGCGCAGTTTACTTGCGAGAATTTTTTGAAGGGCCAGTTCCTTTTGCATGACCGCTGAATCCTCCTCTTTTTGTTGAATTTTTTCTGATGGATGAAGAGATACATGAACTTGATGTTATTTCTAAATCATCATCAGCAATTGAACTTGGTGAAAGTGTTAATTTGGCACCTCCTCTTCCTAGTCGTTTCAATATTTTTCCTTCTACTAATTTGCTTTTAAGTTTATCAATGGTTTCTTTTAATTCCAAATTTTCAGATCTAATTTCTTCAAGTTGTCTTAATAAAACATTGTTTTCGGCGGATAATTCGGCAATAGTTGTACTCATTTCTTGATTTTGTCTATGTTTCTTTGCTCTGTATTTAGCTGATGCAATCTTATTTCTTTCTCGACGTTCTTGTAAAGAAAGTGGCATAATCATTCCTGAGGTTTGTATCGTTGTCATATATGAATTTTGATCATCCGATTTGGTGCTTGCAACGGAAGGTGTTGATGGTGATGAATTAGTTGGACTATAAGATTGGATTGGTGCGAGAGAGGGTGAAGCGATTGGCATGGATGTTGGTGAAGTAATAGGAGTTGGTAACTTATATGGATCGATATCCTTAGAAGATGTAGGGATTAAATGTTGATGAGGATGATGAGGTAATGGAAGTTGTGAAGAATATTGATATTGATTTAATTGATTTTGTCCTAATTCTGAACGACGATAATGATGTTCAACTGAAGATGTATTTGGTTCATTGCTGATTAAATTTTGAATATCAATTCTTCTATTGCTTTCAGAATTTGTTAATGCTGTCATTCTTTGCGTATTGTAATGACGATCATATTCCGGATAACCGCGAGAGCCAGCAGCGACGGTAACAGGAGTATTGGTTACAATTGACATGGTTTTTTAAACGTTTAAAGGAAAAGAAAAAAAAAATCTTTTTTTTTTTTTTTTTATGAAAAAATTGAGAATAGAAATCAAAAATTATTTTTTTGTAAAATTTTTTTTTTTTTACAAAAAAATTCTGTTTATATATAAAT